GAAGGGCAATTTATTACATTTTAGACATTGAAAATGACTCTACACTCTTCTCTATCTGTATATATATTTGGCCTCCTCTTTCCTTTTGTTAGTATAATTTACTCCTTCAACTTTTCATCGCGATTAATTTAAATTCATATTAAATACATAAGTCTATACTGAAAAGGATAACATATTATAACAATAGTAACATATTCAGTTTAATTTCATAAATGATGTCCAAGGAGAATGGTGTCTACGCAACTTTACTTCTATCTTGAAAAGTAGAGAGCATTTCTAATATATTCTCGACTCAAATAAAAGATATCAAAAATCAAATATATAAAGTAAATACAACAATTTACTAAAAAACAATAGAAACGAAACTAAAACAACATAATAATACATAATATAATAATCGATCCTAAGAAGATAATTGTATACATTAAAAAATCAATAAATACAAGATATATATGGTAAAATAACCTACTACATGTTGATAACATTTAAAATATCATTGTAAAATTATAGAATATTTTTTTCTACAGTATGTGTGTGGCCATTAATCATGAAACTTGTTAAGATTAAAAAGGTATCACCAAAAAGGGGGAAAAAGTGAAGAAAAGATGCTCTATAGGAATAAAGCACCATCAAAATCTATTATTACTACTTCTCTATATGGTTGCAATTTAATATGTTACAAAAAATAATAAAAATTTATCTTATATTCTACATCATCAATCAATGTTATTTTTGGTGCACTAAAATGAAGGGATTTTGACAATCAAGTCAAATTGACATACAATAGTACTAACAATATAATAAATAAAGAATTTAGCGATAATAATAATATAATTATTGTTATATTATATTTAATATTATTAATAAATATGAATATTTAAAATCATCACTTTATATAAATGTCGCTAAATATTTTAGCGATTTTGAATGAAATGACATGAACTCAATTATCGCTAAATATTTTCGCTACAATACTTTAAAAAATCTATTGCCACTAAATATCTCTTTAGTTGTAGATAGATATTTTCGATCCCTATCAAGTTTGACGTATAATATAATTACAAAGTATAGTATAGTTTTTTGATACATTATTAGAAAAGACTAAAAATTAGAGCTTCATCATGTTTTCGCCCTTCATTTGATCTTTAATTGCATTTGATCTTTTCCTCACTTATTATATAAAAGATGAAATAATTTTTTGAAAATGTGAATTTTTTCTCCCCCCTCGTCCGCTGTGGTACTGCAGTGAGATTGATAGGGAAAGGGCATTGCCTCACCATTATCTTCTTTATCAACACATTTAATTATAATGTCAAGAAACAAACAAACATATAGAAGCCCCCCTACCCCCTATACCCCATGCCCTCACCCCCACCATAAAAATAAAATAGTATGCTTTTAGTGTACAAAGATTTAAAAACTATTCGATCATCTAAAAAATAATTATAGCCTATGATTAGTAGAATTAATAACGTGAAAATTAAAGGCGAGAAAATTGTTATAATTTATAAATATACACTCATAATACAAAAATTATTTATACTGATAGTTAAATATTATGTACGTAAATGTTTAAAAAATTATAATGTCAGATCATTCAAGTAATATTTAAAGGTATTAACACGAAAATGTAATTTAAGTCGGTAGAGCCTAAAATCATACGTGGAGAATTTATAGAGATCTCTTTAATTAAGCGGAAGAGAAATTAGAAGACTATCCTTTCTATCGCTTGTCCTCCTGACTTTTCACTTTCATTTGGTCTCTTTCTTCAAAGCGCATGGCAAAGAAGCAGCCAACTGGTTGTACACCTCTTTCACTCAGCCTTTCTTCGTTGTATGTAAGGTCCTAACTTTTACGGACATTCTAGATAGATTGCAATATATAAGTCACTAGTGAAAGATTTAGACGTATTATAATTCATCACCATCTTAATTACACACTTCCAATTGATGACAAGATATTATATAAATGTTGACCTAAACCCCTATTCAAAAGCTTAAGCATTCCTGAATCATACATGAGCTATTTTAATTTATACAACTCTTTCTAAGAACTTGAAGTCCCTCTCTCCATAGGAAAAAATAATCATTTACAAGCCAAAAAAAAATCGATCGAACCGCATTGACATGATTGGTCGACCACACTATATTATCATGTCAAATTAAAGCAAGTCATAGTCTAGATCATCCTAGTAAAGAGAAATTCTATGTATAACGAAAGTTTCATCTCACATGTCTCTAAGTCATACATTATATATATGTCTACGTAACCGAATCATATATCATATATATATATATATATATATATATATATATATATAAAAAAGAAAATCCTAGGCTTAATGTGGCGCCATCATAAACCATGATTCTCTTTTATTTATTTATTTCTAAAATTAGTCTTGTCCTTTCATGAAAAGTTGTGACTTTTATGAAGAGTTGCGACTTTTATGAAAGGTCGTGACGTTTATGAAAAGTTGTGACCTTTTCCGAAGGGTTGTAACTTTTCCAAAGAGTTGTGACCTTTCCGATAAGGCACAATAAATATTTGTTCACACTACCCTTTGTTGTCTATAAATAGAGAGATTTCCTCTCATTTTAAAACAACGAAAATTCTGAACAATTCTGCTTCTTCTACACAATTAAATATTGTTTTTATATCAATACACTAGTGAATATAATTGTCCTGAGAGGATATATTCCTTTAAACATCGGGTACTAGAGGGGAATAATTTCCTTAAGGGGACACTGTGTATTCAATGGGCTCAATTTTTTCCTTTCTGTTTCATTCTATTGTTACAGATCCTGGTATGTTTGTTTTAAACTTTGTTGTTATGTTTCCGCAAAGTTATTGTTAGTACAGATTAAATAACACACGTTAATTGAGTGTTCACGCAAGTTTTCTCTACTGAAACTGTAGTTTCAAATTGAACTTCATCACTCTGGTATGTTGATTTTTTAAATACACCCAAATAAACTGAATAGTTTTATGTAATATTTTCCCTTTCAAGTATATATAATAAGTTGAATTATTGTCTGATATGATATATTCTCCCTTTAATATCAAATAGTAACACTTCTTTGAAGCAAAAAGATAAATTATAAAATCAAATTAAAGATGATTGATTGAAGGATAAATGATAAGATGTTATAATTATCATCTTCCTTTACATTATTAATGTTTGTTACTACGTAATTTTGTATGTAAGATAATATAATGTTTTAATTTTAGTAACTGATAGGTTTTAAGCATTATTTTATAAATTCCGTGATATTAAATTCCCGCGCAAGGCGCGGATAATTTTACTAATTTATAAATAAACCATCTTAAAATGTGAGATTGTGCATAATCGCATATTAAAAAAAAACTTTTGACTCATAAAATAAACTTTATTTTTCTTTTTAACTTATTCTCTTTAGCATAATAAAGCCAAAAACCCTAACCCTTGTTTGGTAATTGGTGGCCAATATTTGACATTTCTGGGAAAAAAACCCGGTTCTCAATGAACCGGAGTATACTATAGTTTAAGCTTATTAAAAATTGCCTCTGTATAACAGCTAGCAGTATTCTTTGCAGTAACTTTTTGTCATTCCCCATTCACCACTTATTGCCGTGGGCTCTATTGAGCTAGCTTATTTTTTTTATTTTTTTTAATGGATAAGAAAATTATAAAAAAGTTATAGTATAGTTTTTTTTGTATGATTGACTCATTATTCTTTAATATGATGTTAGAGTAGACAAAGATTCAACGGTTTGAGTATTCTCAACGTTATTTATTATCAAAAAAAATATTTATATGTTTGACTCATGAAAAAAAGAATCAAGTCGGCACGATGTGTTGAAAACTGTTTTTTTATAAGATGGTGTTGTTAAGTTTTCAACATCGGTGGAGGATGGTTTTTTTTTATCTCCTTATATGGAGTAGATGAGCAATCCTTCCCTTACAAACTAGCCTTTAAGGTTGAGTAAGGTAATAATAGAAACCATTTTTGACACTCCTAGCTCATTTGCTTTAGTTAATGCAATCTATAACATGTTACATGTGTTAAAGACGTAATATAATTAATTAACGGTGTATCACAATTTCTAATAGCTTATCAAGATGAGATGATGATACACTTCAATGTGAGATCAATTCGAGTCTCATTACCATCATCTAAAAGAAAAGTCACATAATTGGCTCATGAAAAAAAATCAATCACACAAATAAGGACGTATTAAAGATATAATTAAGTAAATAATAGTGTTGTTTCTTTTAATTGCTTAAATTTTCCGATAAGATAAATAATCACGCACTTCATCATTCATCTTCTATATCCTACTCTTATATATAACAATAACATATCAAGTGAAATTTCACAAGTGAGGTATAAAGAAAATATTGTGTAAATGTAGATCGTCTCACCTTATGATGCCCAACTTAAGATAAGAAGCCCCGCATCGACAAAAACATAGGAGAGATGTGAGCGGACAATATCACTGGTGGACTGAGCCGTTGCAAATAGTATCAGAGTCACTCTTGTGTCAGTAAGTGGGCCAGAGTTCAACTGAGTTTAGGCAAATCCCAGTAAGGCGGAATAAACCTCAGTGTTGAGCCTAGGCAAATTCATGCAGTGGGAAAAACCTCAGCGAGGACGTTGAGTCCATAGAGGAGGTGTATGTGACACCCCAACTTAAGATAAGAAGTCTCACATCGGCTAAACACACGAGAGGTGTTGAGTATATAAGTAGGCGGGTTTTACCCACTAGTAACACATTTTAAAGATGTACGGGCCTAGGTTAAGAGCGGACAATATTACTAGTGGGCTGAGCCCTTACATACCCCTACCTTATGAAGATTAAATAAAATCTGATAGATCCTCGACCTAAGTAAATCATTTCAATTTCTTGTATGTAAGCCCTTTATCTTTCTTTTTTTAAAAAAAGGAGCTACTATTAGGAAGGGATCATGTGCTTTTATATACACTTATTTTAATTACTTGTATACACATAAGAAACATTTATTTGAGAGCAATATATTAGAGAGAGAATAAAAGCATTTTCTCATTAGAGTGACTCATGTCCTCTTATATATTTTGAACTCTCTCTCTCTATATATATATATTTGCTTCTTTCTCCATCCTCTTATAGTATTTCACTTTCCTCCATATATAAAGAAACATGTCATCAAGCTACATTGATTCTACTAATTCTGAGCAACTTTGCTATATCCCTTGCAATTTTTGCAATATTGTTCTTGTGGTATATTTTCTATCCTATCTTTCTATTATTACTTAATTAATGTCATGTGTGTGTGAATCTACTTTTTTTCTTTCTACAAGTTGAATAAAGCTGATTTATGATTCAGAGATTGGTTATTTTTGGTGGTATTATATACATAGATAATTAAATCTCTTGATATTCTCTATGTTTTTTTTTTTTTTCAGAAGTGTCAAGTCTCCATCTATCTTCATATTTTTTGATTTTTTTAAAAAAAATCTTTGATGTCTTTTGCAGTCAAAGAATAAAAGTGATAAGCTCTCTGATGATTTATCTAAAATCCAAAACAAGCATGTTAAGTAGTGTCCTTTCAACTCTTTAATTAATTAGATTTAATTTTAATTTATTAATATATCTTTGTATTGTACCTTTCTCTCTTTACTGAAAAGAATACACTCACAGGCTGCAAAAATTAAAGTAATTTTGATCAGTGTCCTATCAAAAAAAGAAAACTTTTTCCTTGCTCATAGGGTTTATTCATATGATTAAGTCCTCAAATTTTTGACTAATTTAATTGTAAAATTAACCAATTAAGTTGTGTTTTAGGGTTTCTTCAAAATCTCACAGCTTTGAAATGTTTTTGACATAGGGTTTTTTTTTTCTCCAATTTTGTTCACATCTTAGATCTATAAATTTATTCATTTCCATAACGTAATGGGGCTAGTCAAATAAGCAAGAACAAGGTAATTTATGTTTTGTCTCATTTTTACTACCTGGTTTATAGTCGAATCTGGAGAATGTGAACTACTCACCTTCTTCTTCTTCTTGGCGCAATTGTGGAAAAATATCATCTCAAGATTTAGTCTATGACCTTCCCCCTTCCACCCTACTTGGCCTCTGCCTAAGCCCTCGAGGCGGATGTAGAGAGTTTTGTGAGTTCAACCAAACACATGATCAACTCGTTCTATATGCTTTTTCACTTATTTTTACTACCTGGTTTATTGTCAAATCTAGTACTCACATTCTCCTTCTTAGTGCAATTGTGGAAAAAGATGATCTCAACATTTGGATGACCTTCCCCCTTCCACCCTGCTAGCTTGGCCTCTCTAGCTCTCCCCTAAGCCTTCGAGGCGGATGTAGAAAGTTTTGTGAGTTCAATTGAACACATGATCAACTCATTATGCCTTTTCTCGTCTTCTCTACTTGGTTTATAGTCGAATATGAAGAACATAAACTTCTAGCATTTTTTTTGGTGGATTTGTAGAAAAAAGGTGATCTCAAAATTTAGACCTCAATTAATTCCCCTTACCATTAGGTAGAGGGTTTTGCGAGTTCAATCAAATCCATTATTTTTTTCTAAAAACATGTGACTACATATGCAAAATTGTACTCAATATTACTCATCTCAATCTATAAAGGAGTCGAATGAGCACAAATAAGGTAATTTTTTCCTTTTTTTTCTTTTTCATCCTCACCATCTGATTTATATATAGTCGAATATAAAGAACATGATCTTCTAGTGTTCTTCTTCTGAGAAAAAAAGATGATCTCAAGATTCCGATCTCCCACTTGCCAAAAGGGTTTTGCGAGTTCAACTGAACCCATTATTTTCTGTTAAAATCATATTGTTAAATAAAATCTCCTTTATTTTATATATATTGACTCTAAATCTTGAATTCACACTAACTCTACCCTCACTTGTGACTATAGATCTTCAAGATTAAGTATGAAAATAGGGTTGGACCACATACTCCTAATAATTGCTTCTTTTTTTTTCTTTTACTTTTGGTTCTTACTCGATATTCATATTAGCGTTTGATTAATTCGAATTTACATCAAGAAAGTTTCATGCTCTATATCTAGGAAACTCTATATTTAGGATATATCAAATCTGAATGAAAGAGTATTTACCATTCCTCAGCAACAATACGTAACAGAGGAAACTCTATATCTAGGGATCAAACATAAGGCCTCTGATTAATTGTGAATGAAAAAGTATTTACTACTCGTCAGCAACGTGTTTTTGATTATTAATAATATTGCAGGTGAGTGTTCCATGCAGCAACTTGTTTGATATAGTGACAGTTCGATGTGGACATTGCACAAATTTGTGGTCCGTTAATATGGCTGCTGCATTTCACTCCAATTCTTGGCAAAATCATCATCAATATCTTCATCATCAGGTCAATTCCAAAAAAAACAAACTTTTCTTTTTTGCAGCTGAAATTGTGGGCGTTATGTTTTTTTTTTATAGCCTTTTTAAAAATAAAAATAAAAACATCTAGGGTTTTCGAGGTTTTACTTCTTTTAAGAAAATAAAATACAGACATTTATACTTACACCAATGTTTTTGGTCAAGTTTTATTACACAGTGTAGTCTGTTCATTTTTACTTGTCCAGTATTTACTTAGTACACTTCTTAAAATACGATAAGTAAAATGATATAGTACTTAACAGGGATAAATTAGGAACTAAGTGATAAATTATCTTTTGATTTTCTAAATTGGACAAATAAAAGTAAACAAATGGAGTATGTGATATTGTTTAACTTAAGAAAACAAACCTTAGACAGTTATGTGACTATAACTCATTTCATTATAGGGCAAACGAGGAATTTTCAAATCAAGTTCTTTTCAATTATAAAAAGATGACAATTTTTTTTAGAGACAGACTAAAAATGAAAGTGTATCACGTATACAAAGGAATTATATATTACAATAGCCATAATCATATACAACCTACATATATGATCTACTCTTTTTCTTTCAAACCTCATTATAATTTTGGATATTTTTATTATATATTATGGTGAAATACTATAACATAACATGAGAAATCGATTTCACTAATTTTTTTGGTTATTATAATGAAAATGTTACTTGCTTTTGAATTGTTTGATTTGATTGATATGAAATATTCTGAGTTTTTTTTTTTCATTTTTTGTCCTATAATGTGGAAACACATCCTAAAATTAGCATATTTTGATTTTTGAAAAGGATATTTGTCCTAGAAAAATATCACGAGAATAACTTATTCAGTCACTTCAATGTTGTTTTGTTATCTTCTTGTCTTATCACAAAACATCATTTCATTACTTTTGGTAAAAACAATATACATAACATTCCGTTCGTCTTGATTTATGTGATGTTATTTGAATTTTAACAATTAAAAATTCTTAATTTTGATCGTGACTTTAAGTTTTTTGAATAAGTTAAAAATAGTATAAGTAATAATAATTAACAATTCAAAATATTTATTAAACGTGAAAAATTTGTTCAATAAATTCTTGAAATCTGAATGATGCCACGTAAAATAACACTTGGAGTAGTACATATATGCAATTTGTATCCTTTTGATTTATTTTTATTTTCTGATTATTTCTTCTAATTTTTGTTAGTAATTTTTTAATTTTCAGGTAGGAAACTACACTAATTCTCCTCATGATCAATACAAGATAGATTGTGGTTCATCATCCATCACAAACAATTCTACTCATGAGGAGAGGATTGTAAATCGACGTACGTAATATACCAAAAAAATTTAATTTTAACTTTGGATATTATATTGTTTAATTTTTCGACCAAGGAGGTTGGATTGCATGCATAAACATAGCTAGCTCGGCTCGTGGTAACATATTTCAAGACAACAAATTCTATTTTTAAGATTGAGGACTATGTTGCTCAGACTCTTGAAAAATGTCACCAAACGTGTGTTAATTCTGACACGAATTCACAATATTCTTGAAGAGTCCAATTGAGCAACATAATAGTTTTTTTCTTTGCTAACCTAATAATGTATAAAAAAGAAAGTAATCATGTTCGATGTATATACGTTAAACTCTAGAGATATTTATTTGTAATTATCTTACAAGCCGTCAAATTATATACTATGTATATATTTATTGTATCATCGATGTATCCAACTTAAACTCAATTAAATTTAACTAATTTTCTAAAAGGTTTTTTTTGGGTGTATTTTTTTCAGCTCCGGAAAAGAGGCAACGAGGACCTTCTGCATATAATCAGTTCATAAAGTAAGGCAACTCTATCTCTGTTACGTTGCTCGGACTCTTAAAAAGATATCATTAATTTAAAAGTAGTCTACTTTTGAAGAATTTGACATAAGTATGACATTATTTTTTAGAAAGTCCGAGCAGTATATATAGCCCATCCGTTAATTATGTAATTATTAGATATGTGATTTGACTGCATTTTAATTAACAACTATATATTAAAAATAATTTGTGCAGAGAGGAGATTCAGAGGATCAAGGCTAATAATCCAGATATCACTCATAGGGAAGCATTTAGTACTGCTGCTAAAAATGTAAGTTTGAATAGACAAAAAGTTAAATAAGATAATAATAATAATAATAATAATATATATTCATAAATATATGTTAATTATTTGTTTTTATAACACTTATGATTTTAAATATCTCATAACATTGGTACGTGCGGTTATTATAAAAACTTTTCATTCACTACTAAAAAACTTGAATTTCATACGTATAATATCTGTTGAGAATTGATTTGATTGTCGAAAATGTTAATTCTATCGGTATTTTCTATTAGAAATCTTTTATTTTTTATGATGTCCTGACAGACTGTTAATTATTAGATATTTGTGTTTTTAGTAGAGACTAAGGGTAAGATGGAAAGTTTAAATTAAATTATTTTCATGTTAGGAAATTGTTATTCTTTTTATAATGAATTTAAAAGGAAATATTTTAGTTTCCTCTCTTAATTTATGATTATTATTTTTTCTGATTTTTTTATGGTTAGTAATTACTGATTAATTGGCCATGTTTGGTTTAATTAGTGGGCACACTTCCCTCACATTCAGTTTGGGCTCATGTTGGAGACTGACAATCAAGCTAAACTTGGTGCTAGTGAGGTAATAATATTCCTTAAATAATAGTCATAATATATATATATATATATATATATTTATTTTATAGCATAATTCTTTCTTAAATATTGTATTTTTCAGTCAAACAGTATCACATAAATTGAGACGTTAGGTCCTTAAATCTCTTTGTACCTTTTAGATTATGAAGCTTCATTGCCAAAAAAGGGCTCAATAAATTAAAATAGCATATAATATGAAGAAAAAAAATGCTAAAAAACTTCCAAAAGTGTAAGGGAAATACTACTTGAATTTTTGCTTTTAAACTAAAAATGTGTATAATGTATCACAAAAATCTTCAAATTTACTAAATATTGAGTCGTGGAATTAGTTATTGACTTTCCTGAATTCTACATGAACGTGGAATGCTTATTAGTGCGCCGGACTTCCCCCTTTTAAAAAATAAGATACATAAATTAAAACAGATAATAATATTCTCTATATATTTCCTTTTATTAACTTGTAGTAATTTTGTGTCTAATTTGTTTCCATTCCAATTATCTGCAGAACAAAGAAAAGCTTATAATGCCTAGAGCTGCATTGCCAAAAATAAAGACCTTCACCTTCTAAGAGTATTAATTCTCCACATGTTGTATGCTGAATTATTGAAGACAAGTGTGATTTTATTTGTTCTATTTATTAGTACTTATAAATTGTGTAATATAATTTGGAAATTATTTGAAGTTCCTTTGTTGTCTACCTCAATTTATTTTATCTTTCCCTAGTTATTAATTAACGAGAGAAAAAACTTTCTAGAGCTTTAGATTGCTTTCTTATTCTTTGTTTATCAAGGTAAAAGATGGAGTAGTCTAACTATCAGTTATTCACTTTATCTATCTGAACTATCACTATTTATATATTAAAGCGCACTTAATTGATTACATGATGGTGTGTGGTGTATGTACTCTCTGATTGATTGAGTAGTTGAGTAGTTGAAGGTGCGTGATGTACACTCTCAAAAAAGTGATAGTTATGTTGATCGAGAATATTAGAATCCCTTTAAAAGTTTTGATGTGTGTACCATATTTCAACAATTTTTAAAAAATAATAGAAAATAAACCTATGAATTTTAAAATTATTTCCTCTTTTGATTGACCTAAGCAAAACAACTTGTACTATAAATGTTGTATATATAAAGAATTAGAAACAACAGTTTCTGACTTTTTGTGGTATGTGTATGTTCTTTTTTTCATGTAATAATTCATGAGTACTTTACTTTAATTAGTTTATTGGATTGATATTTGATTGCAAAAGTTGTTTTCTTCTTTTTGCACAAAGTTAAACCTATATCTAGTATAAAAAAACTTTTATGTTATGTCCAAGATATATTATACTCCTATGTTATTTATGTGTATTTTAACAACCTTTACCCTACCAACACAAAATGAACATTACCTATATGTGGTAAAAACTAAAATTCTATGGACCACCATAAAATAGCAATCTATCTCTCTCTTTTTACCATTTTAGAAACGACGTTAAAATCTTAAAAGTTTATAGGCTATAAATTTATTATCGAACTGAATTCATCTATTAAATTAAAAATTGGTACTTAATAATGACACTTTGAAAGGATTAGTAGTTTGACTTTTGGGATAATATCATTTTTGATCAAATCAATTATTATTTGATCATTGTAATATATAATTAAACATATTTGTTTTTAATTAATTAAAATATATATGTTTAATCCCTATATATATTGCAGTTGCACTATAAAGAAATATACCTAGACGGATATTATAAAAATAAAAATTAAAATTTATCGACTTTTATGGGACCAAAAATATTATTATCCTTAGTTCCTTTCCTTTTCGGTATGACCTTTATATTGTGCAATTAAATATTTCAACTTCGAAAATGAAAGCTCATTTTTAAAAAACGTTGAATTCAACACGCACCACAAATTAATTTTTTTTTTTTTAGTAATTGTTAACACTTTATTTTTCCTTATTGGTTAAGTGTTGTCAACGCTTTGACGTTCTTAAATTTGGATGTTAGACACATTTAGGCCCACTAAAAATAATATAATTGGCTAATAAGTCAAATATCAATTAACAAAGTTGTAAAATTGGTAAAATTTGCTAACAATAGTTGATTACTGTAATATAATGTTCAATAGATTTCTTTATGTAATTAAAATTGGTAAGATTTGCTAACAATAGTTGATGAAAATTGAGTTTTTAAATTTATTTCTTATTCGATGTTTGATATACGTATTGAGATTTAACTAAATTCGAATTCACATTAATAGTCAAATATTTTCTAATAAAAGTAACTTCATATTCAAAACTCAAATTCTAAGTTTATGAATATTAATATAGAAGCGGATCAAAGTATCTAGAAAGGTCCACAAGGAAAATATTTATTTAAAGTAAGATTAGTCCAAGATTATTATTTTAGTTGAATTTGTTTTTCTATCAATATATATTAGTACAATTTACACGTGATTTTATTGTAGGATTTGACTTGTACTCCATTATTGTAGGATTTGACATGTCCTCATTATTAGATGCATTTTTTTTCCATGTATCTAATTAATTTTTTTCATGTAAAACAATTTGATTTAAAATACTAAGAAATTGTTTTGATTGTTAATTATGGTGAGATGATTTGTAATCTCTTCACGTTTAATCAGAATTTTGTTCAAACTCTCTAAAATGTAAAAAAAAAAAGTCTTATTAAAAGTATTGTCCTCATAAGTAGACCGTGCAACACACAAATTCAGATTTGGTCATGGTCGATGTGGGTACATAACACTAATATTTTGTTTGGATCATTGTGTTATCAATTGTATTGTATTGTATCGTTATTATATACCTATAATGTTTGTTTTGATTGTTACTTAAAATGTATTGTATTGTATTGTTAAATTTCGTTGTTACGTAACAATAAAAATCCTCATTTTATGGAACAACCAATTTGGTGTGTTTCCATTGTTACTTAATTTCTTTTTCCAATTATATCTTTACATAATAATTCATAATATTACTTTACCCTTTACTTTATATTATTTAATTCTAGTCAAACCCCCTACCCTAGAATAATTGAGGATATTTTAGTAAATTTATAAATTACAATACAATACGATACAGTCAAACCAAATAATAAAAATGTTATTAAACAACAACAAACAATACAGTCTAGCCAAATATTGTATCCACCATACAATACAGTACAATAGAGTACAATACAATACATTATGAAACAATGAATAACAATGATCCAAACAGAGTAAAGAAAAAGTTTTATTGAGAAATCTCTAAAATTATTTTGATTGTCGGTTGTGGTGGGATGTTGATTAGGGTTGTTCAAAATCGAATCGAAACCAATAAATTCGAACCGAAAAAATATTATTGGTTTATCGATAATAGGTTATTGATTTAGCGGATTCGGTAATGATTTTTTATCGGGTCATCAATTTTTAACTGTTTGAGGTTTTTTCTTAACGAGTTAACTAATAACTCGATAATAAGTTAAATAATTATATTTATACCATTTTGATATATAAAGTCCTTAAGTTAGAGTTTAGTTTCGTTTATTTCTGGCTATCTCAAACTCTCAGTTATTCTACGATGTGATAGTGTTTGCTTTTGAGAAAGATACAATCTATCAACTTATGTGCATGGTTCATTTGGTTTGTCACCTTGTCTGTAAGTGATATTAAATAATTTTTTCGGTGTCAAATTTTAACTGTTAAACCAATAACTTAACCGATAACGATCAACAATCAATAAACCAATATCTTAATGGTTATGTAACACTTTAGCTCGTCTACAAATCGATAACTAATAAGCCGACCCGATAAATTTCAAAACTGAACAGATCGATGCACGACATTGACTCATAATCTCTTATCTCTTGATCATAGGTCTAATTCAAGCTTCCAAGAATGAAAAAGATATTCTAATAGGAGGTTTTTTCACGAAGGGGCGTGTAAATTGTAATGCATGAATTCAAATTTAATCGTAATCTAATATGGATGCCAACTCCGAATAAAAATATATTAAAAAAGAATCTGATAAATTGATTTGAGCAGTTAAAATTAGTCAATGCTTCTTTATTCTCCACAGTTCAATAAGTCTCAGCTCCAAATCGATCAGATTCCTCCGTTGCTCAATTTTCCGGCGACTTCTCCACCGGAATTTCTCCATTTCCGGTAATGATTCCGCCGGCAACTCGCCATTTTTTCTTTCTTATACAGAAATTTACTAAGTATTTATTCGAATTCAATTTCATAATTTTGTTTTTCTCTCGTCAATCGCGTTAAATTTAAGTTGAAGATGGAAACTTTTGCGGAAATCAGCTTTTATGCTTTTTCTAGTTCATGTAATTTTCCCTTTTAATTTCTGAATTTGGATATATACACAATTCAAATTTGCAAGTTTGTTTATGATGTCAGTAGTAAATTTCCAAGCTTGTGATCAGTTCTAATTTTATTTTTTTCAAGTTGTAATGGCAGATATTTTCTGTTCTAGGTCTATGTATTTAGTTTCTTCAATCATATGAGTATGTATGGGCGATAAGTTTTTTAACCTGTGAAAATTGCATATTCAATTTATTTGTCTGATTTTAACTTAACACAAATAAATTTAAAAAAAACAAAGAAAAAAAGGAAAGAGGCATTCTTTTCGAAATGGATTTAAAAGGAAGGTAAGACAAGCAAATTGAAATGGAGGAAGTATTTATTATATGTGTGCATTTTTATCTGTAATACATGATCAGCTTGAGTTGATCTAGATTACTGATTAGTTTTATTGTGATTCAATTGACAGGTTTTTGATGAGTTATAGTTGAAGGTTGCTTCACTTTTGGTAATCTGTGGGAAATGAGTGTTCAGTGATGAAGAAAGTGAAGAGAAAGCTTGGGAAGTATGAAGTTGGCAGAACTATTGGTGAAGGGACATTTGCCAAAGTTAAGTTTGCACGAAACACCGAGACTGGAGAGAATGTTGCCATTAAAGTCTTGGCCAAAAGTACCATTCTTAAACATAGAATGGTTGAACAGGTATTAAGATATACTTCCCTTCAAGCTCTCGAGTATATGCTTTACGTGTCCTGCATTTTTGTTATTTTGTTTTGATAACAGTGGTGTGCACATATCCCATATTTAAAGGTTGGAGTTGATAATTAGAAAAGTTATTCCAATCTGTGAAGTGATTATTATTGAAATTAGGTCAGAAATCTCTTCTGTCAAACTTCAGTAGGCTTTTCTGATCTGATGTGAATCAAGAGTAACCATGACAGTTTCCATGGTGGACTATTAAGCTCACATTGAACATTGTAGCCATAGCAATGACATCTGTTATCAAAATTGAACTATGTGAATGTGCTTGGTTTCTGAGCTGAATTCCATTAGTGAACATCAGCATGTTCATCCATTACTGTGTAACTATAGCCAAATTCAGTAGGTTGATGGGTTTTTAAGCCTTTTAACTGATGGCTGGCAACAGTTTAGCTGTGTAAAAGAATTAAGCTTTATTCATATTGAATTTTTATTATCTATTTGCACTTGAAATAGATTTCTGTGATAAGAGAGCACATTCTGGGGTCTGTGTGTGATAATTCTACTGTCCTTGTTCTTACCATCTCTGGCATTTTTGGCTGATCAATGTGCTGTTCTTTGAGATGGTTTCCAGATCAAAAGAGAAATATCTATAATGAAGATTGTCAGACATCCTTGCATAGTTCAGCTTCACGAGGTAAAAAGAAAAAAAGAATAAAAGTATGCATATTACAAATACTACTGTGAGTTTGGTTGTTCTATTATCTTTGCTCCTTGCTGTTGCTGATGTTTATTGATTTTGTGTATTTCCTTGTAGGTTTTAGCTAGCCAGACAAAAATATATATCATTCAGGAGTTTGTCACTGGAGGAGAGCTTTTTGATAAAATTGTAAGATTCCTTTAGAATTTTCAATAAGATTTTTCCTTCTTTATATCAATAACTCTTGCAAACTTTTTGATCCTTGTATGTGATGATAGATAGCTCTCTATCTGATAATGACTAGAAAGGTAATCTGTAAATGAAAATAGAGGTATGATTGAGACATTATTGCAACTAAGATGTGTGCCTATGACGAGTTTCTGTGAAGTGATAATCTTCATTAATTAGGATAAGTTGTAGTTTGGGTCAAGATACTTATGGAGAATGGGGAAGAAGATAATGGAGTGATCAGCTGATATCTTTGGTGTATCCTATACAATATTCACAAAGCAATAGTCCGATGGAGTAATCTGTATAATGAGAAATAGAGGCATGACTGAGATATCTCTTTTTTATATCTGAAAAATAGAGGCATGCTGAGATATCAGAAGAAAAAGAACTTCTGTATTTGGATGAAGTAGTTCCAGTCCACGCTTTTTATGTGGAGAGCTTGGAAATCCACTTCTTTACTCTGAAAGTAGTTTAAGAGTGTGTTGAATTGCCTTCTAGTAAGTCGAAAATTTCATCTGATCAAGAGGTTCCTCTAGGTAGGTGTTACCAGTCTTACTTAAGCACGAGATAGTGATCAGAAATACTTAATTTGGCAGTGACAATTTAGCTTTAAATCAGTTTTTCTCTGTCAGGGATGGACTCTATCGAGTAGGATTATTTTCACTTATGGAACTTTGTACATTTTTTTCAGTATTCCTGAATAGTTGGTATGAAATGCACGATCCAGCCTGGTTCTGATCTTTAGTCCACAATGATAGACAGGAGACCGACCGACCAACTAAATCTCATCTTCATCAAATATATAAATTGTTGGGTTACTTAGGTATAAACTGGTTCATTGATAGTAGTCCAGTTTCCAATTAGGCACTTGCATCTTTACTAATTTACTTTAGCTCATGGAGCTTTGACCCTTAATGGTTTACTTTGTCCTTCTCCCTATGAATTATGTGATTTTCAAGATTTAGTAATGCATATGTCTCTTCAATTATATATTCGTTCAATTTATAGGTTCATCTAGGTAGGCTTTCTGAGGATGAAGCAAGGAGATACTTCCAACAACTCATAGATGCAATTGCTCACTGTCACAGCAAGGGTGTTTACCACAGAGATCTGAAGGTTCGCAATTGCTGATTGGGAGATCTGTTGTGAAAATTATATATCTTAATATTTTAACTATTGTTCCTTGTTCCCCAGCCTGAAAATTTGCTTCTTGATTTCCAAGGGAACTTAAAAATTTCTGACTTTGGGCTTAGTGCATTGCCTCAACAAGTAAGCAGCATCTGATGTTAGTTGCATTAGATGGTATATCTATTTTTGTTTCTTTCCTTGTTAATTAGAGCTTCTAAATGGGCATTTACTCAAATCTCTAACAGGGAGTCGAGCTCCTCTATACCACTTGTGGGACTCCAAATTATGTTGCACCTGAGGTATGATGCATATATAGTTTGAATGTTCTTCTTGTTTTGTACATGCCACCCGTCATTCTCCATTTGACTGCCTGCTATCCCCAAAACCCTTTGTTGAGAATATAATTAAATAATAAAAAGTGTACTCTTTCTAACAGCTTAAGCTTTTATATGAGATGGTCACACACTTCAACATGGTATCAGAGCCAGACAGAGATCGAATCTCACCGCCGCCCAAAATTAAAAAGAATTTCCACATGCTTGGCTTGAATTCATTCATGACAGTTTCTTATCATTAATATATCACTTGTACCAGCTATACTTATTGTTTGGTTCTGCCTAGATTAAGTTATATGGGCGATGAGAGTGGTATTGCACCTAGCTCCAGATTTCCAGATTTTAGCTGCCAAAGCGAGGCTTTGACAACACTATGCTAAAGTTTACTAGTAGTGACTTCTCTAGTGTGAAAAAAATTTGAGTAGTTTGTTAGTTTTAGTACTTGTATGTTCAACATTCTCTTTGGTCTTTTGCTGAAGGGTTGTGAGTCTGTTACCACATAACAGTTACAACTCCTCCATGACATTAGTGCTTCCCTGCAATCCTTTTCACACTTTATTCCTCCTAAATGCTACAGTAGTGAGATATTTAAGGAATAAAAAAAGAAGGTTTATATGAGAATCGTCTCTGAGAAATTTCTGGACTTAGCAAGACTTGGTTCTTTGCAATGTGAGAAATTCCAAAACCAATGCCATGCTACAACTCAGCTCTGGAACCAGTTTTGCCTTGTTGAACTGTTTATATGATTTCCCAACTTCTTTTACGAAAATGAACTTCCTAAAGGTGCTATCTCTGACTTTCAGGTTGATTGATTAGAAACTTAGGCCCCCTTATCTATTTTCCCATTCCTCATACATCCTCAATGATGTCCACATTAATAAGCATCATTTGTATTTGTTTTATCTGCAAGGAGCTTGAATCAGAAAGAAGCTAAGCAGAGGGGTGGTTGTCTTTCATTTTAATTCATTGCTATCCCTTTTACCTAGCATGATCAATTGGCTTTTGATTAGTCATCAAATGAGAGAGAATCAGAATTTATTTCCCTTCCATGAGCTCTGTAGTAATATACCTTCAAATCATTAAACACATTCTAATATAAAAAATAAATAAAAATTTAGAATGTGTTTGGACTCTTTCTGTGGTAGCTGGCTTATTACTCTTAGTTACTTCTTCAGGTGTTAAGTAACCGAGGTTATGATGGTGCTGCTGCGGATGTGTGGTCATGTGGTATCATCCTTTATGTTCTGATGGCAGGATATCTTCCATTTGAGGAGACAGACCTTCCTACCTTGTATACGAAGGTTAGATGCAGTAATCATGCATTTGTAATGTGTTAACTGGAAGCATAGATAATTCTGTCAAATGATTCTCTTTTTCTTCTTATATAGTGACAAATGCTAAGGATCATGGGTCATATGATGGACAATTCCGTATTTCTAATTTCATCTTCATGCATGAGTTTCCTCGTGTTTTTTATTATTACCATTATTTGTTTTTTTGTGTGTTTTTATTAGATTAATTGGGGCTTTAAAAGTAACTTGACATTACTTGTACACGGCTTGCTATACGTTAAAGTTATTGTTTGTTCTATGTGCGGCTTACTATATGTTAAAATGTTATGGTTTGTTCTCCACAAATTTCTTATTGCTTTTAATAATGACACAGATCAAGGCTGCTGAATTTTCCTGTCCATTTTGGTTTTCTCCTGGTGCAACATCATTGATTCAAAAAATCATTGATCCAAATCCCCAAACTGTAAGTGCACTATATGTTTAACTCTGAAAACTATGGTGTCCCATTGCCTATTTGTCACATAATTATTCAATCTACTATTAGCTTATGACATTAAAGTTGCACTAGAAAAAAAATCCTTCATGAGGGAATATGAGAAGCTCTGTTTCATTGAACTGAAAACATGGATTTTTTGAGTTTGATTGCTGAACATGGATTAAAATCCTTCCAAATTTCCCGGATTGGTTATGGAGATCCTTTTTATGAGAAATGCCTTAAGCATGTCTTCTGCTCGTTCCTTGATTTTGTTCAGTACAAATGTTCCTTTTCTCATGTCCTTTTTCTTGGTTAATTTGTGAAACTTCAGCATAACTTGTACAGAAGTCCTTTTAGTGTTTTCATAGTGATTTACTCAGAACCATGTACATGCAGAGGATCAAGATTGATGGGATAAAACGAGACCCTTGGTTCCGGAAAAACTACAGAGCTGTTAGAGCTAAAGCAGATGAAGTAGTGAATCTTGATGATGTCCGTGCTGTGTTCGACGACATTGAGGTTGAATCCTTTCACATTCGTCTTCTAGTATTCTAACTAGTATATCTGCGTGAGGAAATGATCAAATTTAAGATAAATTGTACTCTGGATTTAGATTAACTAAAGTGATTGGCCTGATACTTCAATGTTCTCACCCATTATAGGTTTTATATGTTCTATTTTCATGTGCAGGATGCATTTGTCAGTGAAAAATCTGAAGATAGTGAGAGTGGCCCTTTGGTAATGAATGCATTTGAGATGATAACACTATCTCAGGGGTTGAATCTATCCGCTTTGTTTGACAGACGTCAGGTACAATGATTAATTTAGTTCATGGACCAAAAAATAAACCATACCGAAGTTTCCAGATTTTAATTCATATCAACTTCATCTGTTTTATCTCTTTCTCCCGATTCTTCCTGTAAGCTTTTCGTTTCTTGGATAAGGAAGGGAATCTGATGGGATATGTAAATTGATTCTTCCTTGAATTTTTTAGTTAGCATGCTCTTTAATAGAAGCAAGTTAGTTTCTCTCCCACTATTTTTGGTATCTTTTTTTCTCCTTTTCCTTGTAGTTAAGATGCTCAGAGCCAATGTTACATAATACCAACTTTTCTTAATCCAATTTTAGATCAAATATGTCCCCATTTTTTTGGTTTGGAAAAATGTGTCAGATCTGATCTGAATAGCTTATATTTTTAATGATCGAGTTATTTATGTTTCTACAAACTTAATAATGCTGACATGTCTAGTACGTCGTCTCTTTGCTATAAAAGTTTTCACAACTTCCTTATTATAACAAAGAGTAATTTCCTCTCTCATTCTTGCAGGATTATGTCAAGCGTCAAACTCGATTTGTTTCCCGCCAACCTGCTAAAGTCATCATTGAAACTATTGAAGCAGCCGCAGAGTCGTTGGGTCTTAAGGTCCACACACGTGATTACAAGGTATATTTCTAATTCTCCATATAATTCAGGGACAAATGATTCTCTTTAATTCAAATAACAATTGAATCAGTATGAAGCATTGTTGTAATTGAATAATCAGTTTCCCATCGGATCAACTGTAATTGTCAGCATTCTTTCACCCTTTTCCCACTATCTATCAAACAGTAGTTCCCTTTCAACATCAAAGAACATGGAATATACAGGAGGAATTCACCCTTTCATTTTTTCCTGCTCTTTATCAGGAGCAAAATCGTAACTGTGCCACATAAGATTTAGTCGCATTTTGCTTAACTTGAATGAACGATGGTTAAAAAATTATCTGCCTTAATGGTCACTGTTGCTTAAGATGCAAACAGCTTGGAACTAGGGGCTGATTTTCTTATCAGGAGCAAAATCGTAACACTCCTACTTTTTGTTACGAACTTTGGTAATTTTTTGTAGGCTTTTGTGGTTCTAAGATCATGTTGTTAAACCACAATACCCTGGGTAAGTTTCTCTTTATTGAGCGGGCATTGATTTGTTCAACCACTATTCTCATTGCAGACAAGAATTGAGGGGGTAACGGCAAATAGGGCTGGTCAATTTGCTGTTGTGCTGGAGGTAACTTCAAACTTAATAAACCGATTCATTATAAGATCGGTGTTTCATATTTTCATTTGACCACTCTTTCTATAATTTGTGAAGGTTTTCCAAGTAGCCCCCTCCCTTTTTATGGTTGATGTTAGAAAGGCTGCTGGGGACACTCTTGAATATCACAAGGTTGCTTCTACACTCAACTTTTACCGAGTTTTTTCACTATAGTTTGCATTACAATACTTATATTTAGGTTCTTTAAGGAATTACATGAAACTTGGAACTACTTAACAGGCCCTTGTTATGTGCATTTGCAGTTCTACAAAACCTTCTGCACGAAGATTGATGACGTCATTTGGAAACCAAAGGAGGGCATGTCAAATGCTGTTCTGCTTAGGACAATGACTCGCTGAACCAGATTTCTGGGAATGAGGTGAATCACTAAGCAGTTTGATGTGCTCAGAAGACATTCACATTTTGCTATCCCCGCCCTGTTTTGCACGCTACATCATCGTTGTGTTAGGTACAGTGTGTGTAATTGTATGTTTACTGTTAATCTTCGTCTTATTGTATAGAAAAAAATAAGTGGTAACTGCATATCTTATATGTTATCTGTAAATCATGGGCTCAAAAGCAATGGAATTGAGTGTTATTTTATCTCCATTGTACCAATATATAGTTCCCTTTTACTTCATGAGATTCGAACTATCTACCTTCCAGTCGGGGAGAATGAGGTAGGTTGTCTACTGAGTAGCCCTCATATTAATGGGCTAACATACACAGTGAAAATTACCTATTTTTTGTAAATTAGCCCCTAAATGCCAAAGATAGACTAAAAATAATGAGACTATATGTACTGCTTCCCCAACTCCCTACGGAGGGTTCCATAATGGTTTCGCAATAAATTCGTTTGGAAGCTATATCACAAATATATTCATGGGCTAACGCATATGAAAAAACTGAAAAAATCGCTTAGTTCCTATAAATTCGCCTCTAAATTCCCAAAATAAATTCTAAAAATGGTGAGGCTTTACGTACTACTCCTTCAACTCTCTACGAAGGGTTCCATAATGATTTCACAAAAAAAATCACCTAGAAGCAATATCACCAAAATATTTATAGGCTAACACACACAAAAAAACTTGGAAAATCACCTAATTCCGATAAATTGGCTTCTAAATGTGAAAAATAGACTCTAAAAATGGTGAGAATGTACGTACCGCTCCCCCAACTCACTACAGAGGGTTCCGTAAAGATTTTGCAAAACAAATCATCTAGAAGTCATATAACCAAAATATTCATGGGCCAACACATACGAAAAACTGAGAGAATTGCATAATTTATGTAAATTGGCCCCTAAATATCTAAAATAGACTCTAAAAATGATGAGAATGTACGTACTGCTCCCCAAGTCCCTACATACTACATAGGGTTACATAATGGTTTCACAAAGAAATTAACTGGAAGTCATATCACCAAAGAATTAATGGGCTAACACATACGAAAAAGTGAGAAAATCGCCTAATTCCCGTAAATTAGCTCCTAAATGTCTAATTTGGACTCTAAAAATTATGAGATTGTACATACTGCTCCCCCAACTTTTATACAAAGTGTTGTGTAATGGTTTCGCAAGAAAATAGTTTAAAAGTCATAACACCAAAATATTCATAGGCTAACACACATGAAAAGGAAGAAAATCACCTAATTTTCGTAAATTGGCCCCTAAATACCCAATTTGGACTCTAAAAATGGTGAGATTGTACGTATTGTTCCCCCAACTTCCTACAAAGTGTTGTGTAATGGTTTTTCAAGAAAAAGTTCAAAAGCCATATCATCAAAATATTCATGGGCTAACACACATGAAAAAATGTGAAAGTTGTCTAATTCTTGTAAATTGGCCCTTGAATGCCCAAAAAGGACTCTAAAAATGGTAAAACTGTACATATTGCTCCCCCAACTCCCTATGGAGGGTTCCATAATGGTTTCACAAAAAACTCATCTAGAAGCAATATCACCAAAATATTCATAGGCTAATACACACACACAAAAAAAACTAAGAAAATCGCATATTCTTGTAAATTGACCCCTAAATATCCAAGATGAATTTTTAAAATGGTGAGACAATACGTATTGCTCCCCCAACTTCCTACGGAGGGTTCCGTAATGGTTTTGCAAAATAAATCATGTGGAAGTCATATCACCAAAATATTCATAGGCTAACACACAAAAAAACTAAGAGAATTGCATAATTTCTATAAATTTGCCCCTAAATACCTAAAATGGACTCTAAAAATGATGAGATTGTACATACCGCTCCCCAAAGTCCCTACATAGGGTTACGCAATGGTTTCACAAAGAAATTATCTGAAAGTCATATCACCAAAAAATTTAAGGGCTAACACACATGAAAAATTAGAAAATTGTCTTATTATGATAAAATGGTCCATAAATGTCCAAAATGGACTCCAAAAATAATAAGATTGTTCGTACTGTTCCCCCAACTCCCTATTGAGGGTTCCATAATGGTTTCACAAAAAAATCATCTAGAAGCAATATCACAAAAATATTCATGGCTAACACATACGAAAAAGTGAGAAAATTGCCTAATTCTCATAAATTGGCCCCTAAATGTCCAAAATGGACTCTAGAAATGGTGAAATTGTACGTACTGCTTCCCCAACTTCCAACAAAGTGTTGTGTAATGGTTTCGCAAGAAAATAATTTGAAAGTCATATCACCAAAATATTCATGGAATAACACACAAAAAAATGTGGAAATCGTCTAATTCTTGTAGATTGGCCCTTAAATGCCCAAAAAAGACTCTAAAATGGTAAGACTGTACATACTTCTCCCCCAACTCCATATGGAGGGTTCCGTAATGTTTTTTTTAAAAATCATCTAGAAGCGATATCACGAAAATATACATAGGCTAACACACACACAAAATATAGAAAATCACCTAATTCCAGTAAATTTGCCTCTAAATGTGAAAAATAGACTCTATAAATGGTGAGAATGTACGTACTTCTCCCCCAACTCCCAATGGAGGGTTCCGTAATGTTTTTTAAAAAAAATCATAAAGAAGCGATATCACAAAATATACATAGGCTAACACACACACACAAAACAAAGAAAATCACCTAATTTCGGTAAATTTGCCTCTAAATGTGAAAAAATAGACTCTATAAATGGTAAGAATGTATGTATTGCTCCCCCAACTCACTACAGAAGGTTCCGTAAAGATTTTGCAAAACAAATCATCTAGAAGTCATATCACCAAAATATTCATGGGCTAACGCACACGAAAAATTGAGAAAATTGCATAATTTCTATAGATTGGCCCCTAAATACCTAAAATGGACTCTAAAAATAATGAGATTGTACGTACTGCTCTCCCAAGTCCCTACATAGGGTTACATAATGGTTTCACAAAGAAATTATCTGAAAGCTATATCACCAAAAGATTTATGAGCTAACACACATGAAAAATTAAGAAAATTGTCTTATTCTTGTAACTTGGCCCATAAATATCTAAAATGGACTCCAAAAATAATAAGATTGTATGTACTGCTCCCTTTACTCCCTATAGAGAGTTCCATAATGGTTTCGCAAAAAATTATCTAAAAGCAATATCACCAAAATATTCATGGGCTAACACATATGAAAAAGTGAGAAAATTATTTAATCCCGTAAATTGGTCCCTAAATGTCCAAAATGGACTCTAGAAATGATGAGAGTGTACGTACTGCTCCCCCACTTCCTACAAGGTTTATGTAATGGTTTCACAAGAAAATAGTTCGAAAGTCATCATGGGCTAACACACAGGTAAAAATGTGAAAATTGTTTAATTCTTGTAAATTGGCCCTTTAATGTCGAAAAAGGACTCTAAAAATGGTAAGATTGTACATATTGCTCCCCCAACTCCCCTATGGAGGGTTTCGTAATGGTTTCATAAAAAAAATCATCTATAAATAATATCACCAAAATATTCATAGGTGAAAACACGCACAAAAAACTTAGAGAATCACCCAATTTCAGTAAATTTGCCTATAAATGTGAAAAATGGACTTTAAAAATGGTAAGAATGTACGTACTGTTCCTCCAACTCACTACAGAGGGTTCCACAGAGATTTTCCAAAAAAATCATCTCGAAGTCATATCACCAAAATATTCATGGGCTAACACACACGTAAAATGAAAAAATTTGAATAATTTCTGTTAATTAGCCCCTAAATATCTAAAATGGACTCTAAAAATGATGAGACTGTTAATTGAATAGTTTGTGTGTTATGAAATAGGAATTCAAGATTATCCAATTTTTCATGTGTAATTTATCCATAACTATGTGAACGATTCTATTTGAGCTCAAATTCTATGGGTCCATTAGTATCGACCTATTAAATGATACTAATTATTTTTCGAAAGACGAATGTCGTTTGTTTGAAGTTTACTTTTTCGTCATGAGTTTTATACCTCTATCTATCAAATATTTTCTTTTTATACACGAACTATCATCATCTATTCAATTAAACCTATTTTTTAGTATATAGATGATGAACATTTTGTGTTAAAAAGGAAATTGATAGTTAATGCGTGAAACTCGCAGAAAAAGTTTCAAATTTTCTGTTGACTATTCAGTCCATAGTATAACATAACATAAGAGATGAATTTCACAAGAAACATGATAATTAAATAAAATACTTTTATAGAAATGATTGTTACTATTTCTTTTTTTATTAGGCCAGAAAAGCTTTCCGCAAATTATTAGAAAAAGACTGATATAATAAAGTACCCCTGTAATACTTTTTTACTTTAAAAAAAGGTGAAGAAAGAGACAAAATTCACCAAAAATATAATTTAAAAACATGTCACTAAAATATTTGGTCAGTAGTGGACCTACATGTTAAGTCCATTGAATCTGCATTTAACATATCTAACTCCAATTCATTGAATCTGCATTATACACGGATTAGTGGTCAAATTATGTGAATTAAATTATTTGAATTATAACTTTTGGAATAATTTTATCCTATTTAGGAGGTGGAATAAAATATTTTCAGATCTAATGAAATAAAGTGAAAAATTCAGAATTAAACTTGGAATAAAATTTATACTAGAACCTAATCGTTCTAAACTTAATCATGAGATATCTAAGAGGAAAGGACTCAAAGTCAATAAGAGAGAGTCCTGAAACATCTTTAAATTTGAATAAATTATTAATTTCACTCTCAAACTGTTAACTATCTCAAAAATACTCCTTTATTTGACAAACTGAACTCAAGTACAACTTCAATCTTGCAACAGTAGTGACTCTCATCAAATTTAAATTTTTTCAACACTTCTCTCAATTTTTTATTAAAAACCTCCATACTCAAGATCCATACTCCTACAAGAACTTAAAATCACTCGCTACGTCATATGACACACTAAGAGTACATCTAAATTTAATTAGTCAAGTAAAAGAAACTTTTTTCAAGACCGTCAATAATTCAGATATGAAACTCATACATTACATGAACACAATTCAAAACAAACTAGTACTTCATCATCATTATATATAAAACATAGTTGCAAGAGTACAAATCTGAATATGTGGAACCTGGTAATAAATAGGACATTGATAATCCTATCAAAAAACAAGGGACTGGTTAAAAAAAACAACCTAGGTAAGGTTGTAATGGCCAAGCCCCTGGAATAACAGGCACCACAACAACAGAAATTTGCTCAAAGCAGCTAAAGTCTAAAAGACACAATAGAATACTTACAATGAAACACTAAAGACTCTTGAACATGAAAAACTACAGAACTACTGTCTGATTTCTGCAATGTAGCTAAGCACCAAGGAGGCAAATGCGCAATAGATATTGTCTGTCGATGTTGTAGCTGAATGATTCAAACGGCCTGATTCTTTCGAGGAGCAACATGAGTGAAAATTTTAATCTCAGAACTAGGTGACTGTATTCTCAGGAAACCATGGCATGATGGAGTTGTCTCCAAAAATGGATGAAACAGGCTTCGATTTGACGAAGCCTGCAAAAAATGGAGGAAAAAAGTGATGCCATAGCCTCCTGGAAAACAACCGAGACACTGAAGTATTAGATAGCCACGAATATACGGGCTAAAAAAAGAACACTCATGTTTGCTTCTGTAATTGCCAGGCTGAATGAACCATTATAGCTTTCTGCTTATTCTTTTTGACCATTTTGATGCATTTCCTTGTGCCCTTTTGGTTTAGGAGAGGATGTCACACCTCCACAAATCCTCCACAAGAAGCTCGACTGAGCTGCAACTAACGGAGCAATGTTGGAGATTCAAGCCCAGTAGATTCTCTCCCAACTTTTTAAGAGAAGGGACACTCTTGTTTGATACCATGGAGCAACCTGATAAAGAAAGGACCTGCAAATTCACTTGCACTCCACCGGATAAAGCAGCTACACCAGAATCAGTTATTGCACACTTAGAAACATCAAGATCAATAAGTAATGGGCAATAATCTGCAATTGCCACTAAACTTGCGTCGGTAACCTTCCTGCATCCATCGAGATTCAACAATTCAAGGGTCTCGCCATGTCGTGTAGCCAATGAAAGCACCACTTGGTCTGTCAAGTTCAGGCAGTCGCTAAGATTCACCTTAACAAGTCCTTCACAGTTCTCCAAGAGTGGGAGAAGACCAGCATCGGTTATTCCACAAAGCCCACTGAGATCTAATTGATGCAGCTTGGGGCAGAGCTTACCGACCATAGCTAAGCTAGTGCTCCCGAATCCTGGACAGCTTCGGATAGACAAGGACCGAAGAGATTCACATGGAGACAGCATGGAAGTTTGTAGAGCTAGATCCTTGATTCCCATGCACTTCACTAGGGAAAGAGACTTTAACTTCCTGCAGTTTGAAACTGCATTAAGGATACCTACTTGGGTAATTCTGTTGCACTCCTCCAAGATTAAACTCTCGAGAGATCCAGCCTCTTTAGCGAAAGCAACAAGTCCACCGTCAGAAACAAAGCAACACTTGCGAATGCACATATGTTTGAGATTTGGGCATCCCTTTCCCACTGCTTCAAGACCGACATCTGTGGCTCCCTGGCATAAGGTGATTGTCAAAGAAACCAGAGACTGGAGGCCTTGAGCATTACCCATGACCCAAAACCCCTTCTGACTCACGTTACGAAGTGAACAAAGATTAAGACTGGTAATCAGCTTGCCATAGTGACCAATGACAGCAAGCGAGAAATCTGTGATGTTTAGACCATGTAGTTTCACTTTCGATAACATTGAAGCACCTGATGACAGAAGACTAGCAACTCCCTGATCTCCGACAAGTGGGCAGTCCTTAATCGTAAGGGACTGTAGTTTGGTGCAGCATCTTCCAATAGCTTGCAAGCCTTCGTTTCCAATCTTTGGACAGGATTCAATGGTCAATGAAGTCAAGCTCGGGCAATTCTCTGCTATTGCAACAAGACCCTTGTTGGAGATTGAGCGACAGTGGCTCAGATCTAGCTTTTCTAAGGAACGGCATTCCCTTGCAACCTCCAAGAGACCTTCATCCCCAATAGAAGGAACATTCCACAATGATAGGACCCTAAGAGAAGGGCACCCATGTGCAATAGCAGATAGACCAACATTAGTAATACCACGAACTGAGTTACTCCCTCGGATAGAAAGCTTTCCTAGTCCACCACGGGTAGACGTCCCAACTGCAATTGCAGCAAGTCTAACATCAGTAGCTTTCTTCCCTTCCACACACCTAGTAAGGTATCCATCACATTCAACTTCAAGATCTTCATCTTTAGAGATCATTATTGCGTCATTTAGATTGTTATAGCTCTTGCTCCTGCAGATTTCAGAGTTCCTCACGCTACTCAACACTGTAAGCCAGCGCTTAGAAACACAAGCTGCTGCACCCCTTTCTCGGCCACCGGGCAATCGTCTGAGGATCTCAAATAGGCATTCATCAGGAAGAATTTCAAGAGATGGATCCTTTGACCGGTCTTTGACAACAAACGGGCCACTAATGCGTGCCCTCTTCCTAGGAGGACAGTAAACATCAGCATGACCCAACGACAACATGAGACCCAAATCTGCAGAACAAAACGATCCGCCAGAATAGAACTCATCATCACCTGAAATCCAAGGAACAAATACATTGTCAGCTATATTTTCCCTTAAATCAACAAGCAAGCATACTAAATTTTGTCTAATGAAAAATTTTTACAAGTATTCATCCATATGCCCATTTCTTATGAATTTTCACTTCAACTTCAAGTATAACAGATAAACAACTATCACATGTGAATTGAAGCTTTAGATCTACCTGTTATGTACATACATCTTCAGATCAGATCAGATAGATACACGATTCTAGATACAGGACCCAAAAGAGTAATCCACAGTTTCTTCAATATATTACCAATCTCTAATATAGATTCAGAACATAAGACAAAAAAAGATCTATCAAACACAGAAATTAATCTTCAAAGCCAAAGGATCTAGTCTTATCTCATAACTTTTTTCCCTTTTTATTCATTTCAGTAAATTAACGCTCATATTCACCTCAACAATCATGCACCTATACAAAGTTATATGAGTTAATTTCTTAGATAGTCACTCAACTTTTAGCTATTATCTCATAACCAACTTCCTTGTAAAAAAAAAAAAACATGATTGGATCTAAACCTAAAAGATCATCTTCATTTCAGTAAATTAATAAACCATATTTATCTCAAGTTATCAACAATCATGCACCTATACATAGTTATAGACTATATTCATGGATCTAAACCTTAAAAAAATTCATCTTCATCTCAATAAATTATTGCTCATATTCATCTCAACAATCATGTAACTACACAAAGTTATAAACTTTATTTATGATAAACAACTTATATGAATCTAAACATAACAAATCCATCTCCATCTCAGCAATTCATGATGAAAAATCAAAAAATTGTAACTAAACTTCAAAATTCATTGAAATATGAACAACCCCATAACTTAAAATAACAAGAAATGAAGTTTTTGAAACTCACCACTGTAATTAACAAGAGTAGGCATGGCTGTTCTTCAGAAGAAATCCCAAACTGTGAAGCAAAAAAGATCAGATTTTGAACCAAGAAAAACACAACCCAGATTATGTCTTTAACCAAGATTTGCATTCCAGATGAAAAATCCAATTTTTTTCAAGAACCCTCAAAAATCAAGTTTTTTTCAAGAACCCCAACAAAGTAGGGCAAAAATAGAGAGAGAGAGAGATTTGAGGTTAGAGAGAGAAGAAACAAAGAATGGTTCTTTTTTGGTTTTGAAAAGTTATGTGTATATTGTATATATATATATAAATATAATTTTTTATAAAGATTTTTTTACAAATTAAATGTATTTGGTTAGTTCAATGAATCATTCCCTAAAACCGGTATTTCCGGTTATTCTTCGAAGCTAAGCCACTTGTGATCGTACTCAGTACCTCGAACCAGCAAAACACCGTCCTGTTACTGGCTACTTGTTCCACCTGTCTTTGTTTTTTATATAGTTCGAAAAATCTTAATAACTCAATCGATTGATTATCTGAATTTTTATTTTATTTGTAAAGGTTTGATTTTCTATTTTTCCTAAAAAAAAGAGTCGATTTCATCTTGTTGTTGTCATTATTTTTTGTTTAGTTAGGATTGCGTAGCGATTGATTCGATTTGATTTTAAAGTTTAGCGATTTGACTTAGTAATTATCAATTGGTAGATATGTTAGTATACTGTTATCAGTCATTAATCATTATCAACTTAACTGTAATTCTGTAAAGATTCACACACAAAAAAATTAATGAAAAATATAGACATATTGTAGAATAGTCGAGAGTTCGAAGTAATCAGAAATAAAAACATGTAACTAAGCCTTGACTTTATATATGGAATGATATGCATATAATTTAGTAATTTATTATCGAGTTATTGATTAACCCATTAAGAAAAAAATTCAAATCGTTAAGAACCGAAAACCCAATATAAAAGAATTAAAATCGTATCCGAAACCACTAAATCAATAACTCATTACCAATAAATCAATAAAAAAAAATCAGTTTGAGTTATTGATTTCGGTTTGATTTTGAACAACCCTACATTACATTCTATCTTGATTACACTCTTTTTTTAATCAATCGAAGTTTTTATCTCTTAAAAGAGGGATGCTTCCTCAGATTCCACCGATAAAAATTATATTAAATATGATATTATTATTATTGTATTGATTTAATTTAACTTTAAAAATTAATTTAACTATCTCTCAAAAAGGAAGAATGACATTTATTTTGGGACAAAGTGAGTTATAATGTAAATATTCTTTAAAAGTTAAAATTTGCATTTATTATTTTCTCAACAAAAATTTGGCATAAAACTTCATTTTTATTTTAGCAAAAATTGCACATGAACAAGAATAATTGGAAGTACAGCTCATTAAAAAGGAATTACCACGTGGATTGACTCATGATGAAGTGTTACATTTTTTTAATATTTTATAAAAAAAATTGAAATGTGGCATGTTTTTTTTTTATTATTATTATTATTCAGTTTTCTACATAGTCTGAAAAGAACAGCTTGCATTTTTTGCAGTACAATGAACTTGTCCTTCCAATTTTAAAATAAAAAGTTTTTTTTTTTTTAAAAAAAAAGGAAAATGAAAAGGACAGAAAGATAAAATGCAACTTGGCAAATGGCTACTTTTTAAATACATTTTAATTTTTAATTAACAAAACATATATTAATCAAGACTTTAATCACGAAATGTCACTCACGTCTAGTACTGATTTTGTTTCATATATGTATTAATGATAACTATATCGGAACGAATATATCTCTTTAACATATAACAACTCAATAATATCGTATAATTTAAGTAACTTCAGATTTATTAAAGAGTTCAAAATTCTATCCAAAAATAATACCGATAATGGCTAATGTAGTGAAAAGAGGAAAATGACCACATTTGAACGTGTGGAAGATGAATAATTGAAAGTCCAATTTGGCACCATGTTAATTTAGACATTTGCAACACTATTTTTGTAATTTTAAAATGTGAATCAACATATTCACTGGTCCGACTAATTAATTCATGATACGTTATCATAATAAAAATAATTTTTAGCGATAACTAATATACACATTAATAAAGAGTGCTAAAACTTTTATCGACATTAGTTAATTATCATTGGATTCAATATCGTTATAGTCTTTAAAAATATTTATAAAAAAATTACCGTTAATTAAATATCACTAAAAATTATTTTTAATATAATATGTTATAGTGTTTAAAGGAAACTAAAGTGCTCCCTAGCACAAAAAAAATCATTCTCATTCTCAACGGTCTGACTAAATTTGATCGTATGATATCTAAGCTAAAAATATTTCTTTTATCTATAATCAGAAGTTTATCATCTACCAAACACGAAAAAAAATAGTTAACCAACCTTGTAAATTATGGTTTATCTTATCTTGTATTATGATAATAAAAAAAAAAAGTGGCTTAAAGTTATTATTATATAGTATATGATTTCAATGGGGTGGGGTTGGGGGGTCATCATCATGACTTGCATGAATGAACGTACAATTTTGATATATATGCGTCTCAGTTAAGTGAACCTCATTTGGAAATTGCTTTAATTTGTTTGAATCTTCAAAAAAAAAATAGCACTCCCCCGTTTTATATTAATTGATCATTTTCCTTTCTACACGTATATTAAGATATTATAAATAAAAAGATAATATTATTAATTCATCCCTTAAAAAATTTCTTAGAAATTTTACAGTAAAAACTTTCAAAAAGAATTAATTGCAAGGGTAATATAGAAAAAATTTAACTAATGCTTTCTTGATTTAGTAAGGTGAACAACTAATATTAGACAACTATTTTTATTAAGATAACTAACTAATATGAGACGGAGGGAGTAACAATCAGCATCAATAATTGCCGTGATTATAAAATTGATAAGATTTCTTTATTTTTAGTTAGAATTTTGTCTTGGGATCGAATTGTGTGTGTGAAATTCTTTTTGTTAGAGAATGCTTTCCCCTATATAAATATAAATATCAAATATTAAATACCAAAAAAAAAAAAACATAGCAACAATTAATAGATAACCTGAAATCCTAGGACTTTTGTTGCTTTGACATTTGGATACCTTCAAATAGCTTTCATCTTTGGACTTGTACGTAGGGCACCCAAAAAAAACTTTGTCTCAACTTGATGAATTAATTTCAGTTAACAAATAATGATATATATTAGTTTTTTTTTAAATGAGATAGGTTAATTTTTTTATGGATAACATAAATGAGTCTTTTTTCAAAGTTCGATGACATATTTGAGCATTTTCCCTTCATAAATTTACCATAATTATTAACCGACTTAATTACTCATGCGTCATGTTAAGTTTGTATGGTTAGTTTGTTACTTCGTATTTGACGGCAACATATACTGTTCTATCAATACCTAAATCTAATATTTTTTCTATATGAAGGGACCAAAACATACATGTTAATTAATAAAAGATTAAATAGATCGAATCATACATTACAAAGATCGAAAATAGAATTTACCAATAATTTGGGGACCAAAAATTTTATTGTTTCATCACTATTTTATTCATAATATTTTTTTGTTGATTCTCAAAATACTCCCATCTTAGTTCCATCTTCATATGTTTGATCTTCTCCTTGAATAAATCAGCTCTTAGCACTTAATATTTATCGACTATTTTTAATCAGCTTATTCAAATGACTTTAATATCGATCAATTAAATTATACAACAAAGTCATGATTCATGAATATTACCATAAATTTAAGACAATTTTGTAGTTAATTTGTTATGCTAACGTGGCGCTCTGGTGGACATATATTATTTTTGCAATATACTTTATAAAAGTCATTTTTGTTACAATGGGGAAAGGGGTATTTAAGTAATAAAGAAAATGTACAATGAATTTGCTATTAATTGTGTCGACAAAAAAATATTGGATAAATCCATTGCATGGCTTGAAATATATATAAGTCAGAAGTACCCAATTTTGTCAAAACCACACAGTACATATCATAGTATTTTGTTTACTTATTTTTTTTAAAATGACTTGGTCAATATTACAATATCTTGACTTGATAAATAAGACTTGCTCAAGTTATAATTCGAATCGCATAAGAATGTGATGAAATTATTGTGATTCTCTCGTTTTTAGTTACAAAGATTAAATTTACAATTGAATTTCGGTGAATTTCGAATATCAGATACTTATAGAAAAAGATTATGATCAATCATAGGGGTAGGTTAGGGTGTGGGAACGAAAATGGTGGAAGTATGCCTATATAATCTATGAGAAAGAAGATTACAAAAGCTAACATATCATGCTTTATATATTGATTCCAAAGACTAAAAATCAAAGCAATTATGACGACAGACGAATTCAAAAATTAAAGTTTATTGGTTTTAATGATCTTTTGGTTGTTACTGATGAATTTGTAATTTATCTAGTAGGCGTTTAGATATATGATTTAAAATCATAATTTCATCACTATTTTTAATTTTGCAAAGGAAAAAGCATGTTTGGTGTGAAAAGATTATCCGTATCATGTAAAATGATTATATGTTAAAAAATAGTTGGTTATTATTTTTGTTGACTTGTGGATCTTTATAAAATAGCGTGTCTTTGAAAGTGTTGGTGTATATACCACAAATTATAATAAATTACAGTTGAAAAATAAAATGAATAAACAAATCATTTAGGCTGAAACATGGATATCTCGCTCTCTTTAAAGAAAATCAAGCTCAATGCAGTATAATCTACACTGATCCAACATTATATCTTTTGATTTGTCATCTCCAGGATATAACAATCCAACAACGTTATACAACTCAAATAATTTAGAATTAGTTGAAGAATTCAAAGCTTCACCAAAAGGATACACCTTCCTTCAATATAAAATTACTCTCTTTTATATAAGAAATTAATCGAAGCCTTCAAATATTTTCTTTGTATCAACTTTCTCTTTCACTACACTAACCTCAATATAACACTTCTTATGTTCCTTTCACTTTATATTCTTGTACTACTACACAATGAAGAAACCATCCTTTATATAGGTAAGAAATTCTTCTTTATATTTATAATGAATTTAAAAATAATAAGATAGTAAATTAAGTAGATAAATAACCTTAAAG